TCTTCTCTCTCTCTCTCTCTCTCTCTCTCTCTCTCTACACACTAGCCTATCTGCCCTTTTTATATCACTATTGTAATCTTCTGCATTATATTTACTTAAATCTCTGTGGGAACTCCTGCTCTCCGTTATTAATTTTTTATATCTTAGTTTCTATTTTGTTTGCACTTTTGTGTTTTGAATCTAATTTTTGAGGTTCGGGCACGTGGCGCGTCGGTGGGTAGGAAGGGGATTTATGGGGTTTGTGATGACATCTGAAGGCTATTTTTCATTTCTCTTTCGGCGCTTTTATATTTTGGGGGCTAAGGATTAAGTTAGTCCACATTGAATTGTATATTTTTTCTTGCACACATTGCCGCAATTATTCCATGCACCTTCCATTCAGCTAGTATTTTCCTTTATATACTTTTCCTTTGGCGGTTGAGGAGGTTGAAGGTCTTTTCCCTGCGCTCTTAGGATCCTCGTTACCCGCGCATAGTAATTTAGGACAGTATTTTTGTTAACTTTCTGGAAGTTTTGTTTTTATTCGAGGATTCTCAAGTCTCGCTCAATCAGATGCTTCATAAAATATCACTCGAAGATGAGAGAAGTTAAGGTTTCTTGGTGGGGTTGGAACGATGCGACCTCAGTATTTTGGGGAAAAGGGGGTTACCACTAAAAATAGCCACCACCACCTCTATCTATCTCTGATGTCGTACCCACCTTTATGGCCATCACACTGATAACCTACCCTTAGGTCTGTTACAGTTATGCTGTAGGATGACAAGTTGGAAATCTATCGAACCACCGGAAAATTCCGATGGTTCCTTCCTTCCTTCTTTTTTTTATTTTTATTTTTATTTTTATTTTTATTTTAAAAAAAGACAGTCCCGCAGGAGCTCCAGTGGCTGCCCAATGGGAGACGTTCCCCTCACACTGCCACCCCCGCTACTACTCATAGCAAGCTGCTTTTAAGGTGGGCGACCGGAGCCATGAGGTGTGGATGGCCATAAAAGACTGTTTATCGTCATGGCACTAACACTCTGGGGCCCTCCGACTAAAGGTACAGTGAGAGCTGAGCGCTCAACAAACTCAGATGCGGCCCCCTTGCATGAGAGTTTCCCAGGGAGCCATCACGACAATCAAGTATAGCTTCCTCTCTTTCCTGCAGAGTCCCTAGGCGCCCCCACTAGGATGCGGGCTGCCATGTGTGGAGAGGGGAGGCTCGCAACATGCAAAGGGAAAGATTGATCTATTGGGCAATGGGTTAATTGCTTGAGTCTTGAGCCTACCACGGAGCTTCTGGTTGCTGCTGGCGCGTCTAGGTGGGGTTTGTTGTGAACTGGTTGTGACTGAATTTCAAGCGGGTATCCGGTCGGAATTTCGCATCATGGTCGGGTGTTCATACGCGAAAATGGCTAGGGTAGGGGGGGGATGGGAAATTGCCTTTATGGAAGGAGTCAGGGAGCTTTTCGGAGTTGGGAGTGACTGGGTGATTTGATTGCCCCTAAACCGGTTCACGTGCGTTCGAGGCTTCGGGCGGCTAGGGACTGGGAGCAGCTCCGGCGCTCACACGGGTTCAAGAAGGGAGGTCAAATAGAAAACCATGTTGTTTCAGATGTTGGCGATCCTATCCACCACGGGCCGTCTCATCGTTCATTGGCGCGAAGGTGTTTGTCTCTTGGCGAGTGAGGGACAGTGATCAGAGGCACCTTACACACCGACCAAGGAGGGTGCGGTCCCGCGCTGGTATTTACAAGCCCCATGGGCTAGGCAGGGCTACGCCGCGAAGCCTCCAATAGAGCCTTTCTCAAAGAATGCATATCTTCCGAGGTTTCAGCAGGGCAGGGGTCTCTGGCCAGATCCTCGGGCATCGCATTTCGGCGGTGGAGGCACTATTAGAAGACGTGCCGCATGATATACTGATATACGGAAAGCGAGGACTCGAAGATCACAGATATTTATTTAGGGCTATAGCCCTTCCAGTTGACGGGAGCCTTAAGAGGTTGAGGTTTGCTCTGATCGGCATTCCCCAGGTTATCTACGAGTGATGTATTATGAATTCGAAATTCTGTTAATACCTCTGTAGTTGTGGCATGGATATTGGATATAAACTGGACTCGATCGACTAGTGGCCGAAGCCGTTTCACAACGCTGGGCATATTGACTGTGATGTCGGAGGATTGCTTCACGGCGATGGCTGTGACGTCTCTTCAAATATTGAATGCAGCATTACACCTCATGATACGCCTGACTGCTGTTCAGTGCTCTTTGAAGCTTTGAGTCGCTTATTATCGGCTGCGCTGCGATAACCCTGCCATCAAGCAGCATAAGCTTCACTTAATGGGAGGGCCCAGGTGGAGTACAGTACCAGAATTGACCCGAAAGATAGCTGATGCTGGAGCTCGAGTAGTTGGCAGTGATTGCTCTCCAGGATACATCTCGGCAGTTCAGGGCGCCCCCCGAGAAGTGCTATAGCCATTGGCCTTTCCTACTGATGAAGCGGGCACCCCGCTCCCCGGAGATATGGGTTCCTGGTGGAGCCCGGAGGGCCTTCCATAGCTCTGCCGCCATGTTTTTCGCCACGGTTTACAGGTTGCGTACTGGTTACGTGTCCGTGTTTCCAAAAGAAAGGCCACAAACCAGGCTCCATTGTTGGGCATACTTCTCAATCGCAGCTGGTCGAATTTTGGAAGCCGAGGCACTGTCCCGACAGAGCGCACCATAACTGGTTGGCACAGGATAGAATATCCTGGTTCGGGATTGTTACACAGGCCGTCGTATAAGCTTATAAGGAATGCCGAGAAACACAGCAACGGGATTACGCGTTAGCAACCCGTTAATGCACGATAAATAGGGTTGGGCCCATCCAACCCGCTGCTGTGATATAAAAGGCTTAATTTAATGGGGAACACAGTAGTGGTAGTCGTAATACGGATTCCCGTGTAGCATCGGCGACACGACGCAACCAATCCGGCCAATGGCGAGAGGGTTCAATTTCATCTGGAGAAACACTGTCAGAGAGGCCTGCAGTTAGGTGCCGAGGGGAGCATTCCTCCTTGCTGATTGATATCATAGAGGGGTGTATACACACGAGCCAGGGACCCGTTGGCCGCGTCACCAAAGCTGTCCAAACAATTGGCCGTAATCCACCCTTGGGCCATCTACATGTCTGACGATCCCATGATTAGTAGCCCGCTCTGTCCATCGGGCGGTGCTTTCACGGTCCCTGTTGAGAACAAGGGCAAGAAGTCGTGCAGGCTTCCCGCATTGGAAGAGCGGGGAAACTTTGTCCCGGCCAGACCGATGGAGATTCCTTCCTGGCCTCATGGGCCGGAGCTCAGGGACTGCCGCTTTGGCTCCGCTGCGGTATCTGAAGCATCCTTAGCTGGTATGGGTGACATATAAGTACCCGTGCCCCCAAAATCACGACCAACACAATTTCCCGGTTTATGATCATTTCTCCTTCAAAAATCTCGCGATAATACGGAATCTCCTCTCTACTTTCATTCGACGTATAAAAAGCTTTCAACCAGCGTTAAGTGATGGCCACCGACAAGAATGGTGCGTTAGGAATTCCCCCCAGAGCTGACCGAAGTTGCAAGGTGGTTCGTGGATTTCCCGCTAACAGCGCGCAACCGTATCCGAAAAGATGGCAACGGAGACGATGAAATCTGGCTGTGAGAAAATGCTTTGGATATCCCGTTATGGATATGTCAATGGTGGAGGATGGCCTCTAGTTGATTGCTGATTCTTTTGTCCCTTGATAGTTACGACCCAAGCAAAGCCGCTGCAATACTGTTTGCAATACTCTATGGCATGACCACACTCCTCCACATCATCCAAATGTGCCTCACGCGAAAGTGGTACTGTTGGGCCTTAGTCATGGGAGGGCTCTGGGAGGTAGGGTGTATTGACATTTGTCCCGAAGTGGATTCGGCGTGTACCGGCGCAGTTGGCTGACTTGGTCCAAACGTCCTTGCTGCTCTTTATATACAGACTACCGGATACATTCTTCGGATTATCTCGGTTGATAATCCGGATAGCTCGGGATATTATGTATGGAACCTTCTTCTGCCTCTCCGACACCCTCCCGCCCCTCCAGCCCCTCCAGCCCAATATAAATGCTATCCATAAGCCCCAATGAAGTGCGGCCTCCCACACCTGCTCGGAGAAAGTTTTCCGAACTCAGGCTCTTCTGTCCCGCTGGCCTTGCGTTTCATCAGATTATCCCTACTGTAACAATCTTGTGCGATATGATCTGACATACTGGCTGCCGCAATGGCCAATTGCAGTCTCCGATGTTGACCCTCATAGTACTGGCGCCGGCATGGATTGCGGCGTTCGATTACATGACCCTCGGGCGCCTTATCAACACGTTTTTACCCTCCAAATCAGCCCTGGGCCTCCGAGCTCGTAGAATAACGCTCATTTTCGTCCTCTTTGACATCCTGTTAGTGGATTTTTTTTCTTTTCCCCTTCCTTCCTTCCCTTCCCCGCCACCTCCGTCCCTAATCTCCTTTCGATGTACAAGTCCCTGGCATGTACGGAGTGAACATAGGGGAGTGGCTTTGCCAAGGACTTTCAACTCCGGGAACCCCCGCTGTGTTCAGTCCGCTCGTGCCAGGGACCTGTATATTATATTATATTATATTATTTATTCCTGTGCGACCCCGGAGCTGACAACATGCTTTTTTCTCTTTCCTTTCCCTCTTCCAGTGCCTTTGTGGTGCAAGGCTCCGGATCGGGTTTCCTGGTTTCGTCCGACGGGGACAACTTTCAGATAGGGTCGTACATACTCATTGGCGGATTGACGCTGCAAGTGATTGCATTTGGCTTCTTCACCATCACGGCAGTCAGGTTTGACATCAAGTATAAGAGGGAGTTTGGGGTTGAAGGGAGAGAACGGTTCGCCGCGTTGTTGTATTGCCTATATGTCAGTTGTCTGTGCATCTTGGTGAGCCTGTTTCATTTTATTAAATTTTCACTTTTCCTCTCCTGTTGGCTTGGTTCGCGGAATATTATCATCATCAACCTAGCACTCTCCCACCCCTCCCCGCATGCGGGTTTGCGGAACCGGGGATCGAGGTCGGGCTCGGGGTGTGTGCGGGTGTTTGCCCTATTTCAAATCATATACTTGTATATGTGTTTTTTTTCCTTTTTTTTTCCCCCTTCTTCCTCCCAATCTCGTTTGCCGGGGTGTGTACTCGAGTATCTCCGTGTTCCCCTACAACTCCTGATCACATGGAGTCGCGTCGCATGGTGACCATCTACGGTACGCAAGGAGAAGGTTATCCATTTGTTGTCGATACCGTGTACAATGAACCGGGGTGTTGATGCCAACCCGATGGAAGACTAAGTGTACCGGCAGAGTGAGGGACGAGTACCGTAGGAGGGGTGGGAGAAGTGATGAATTCGATAACTCGTATGAGTTGTTGAAAGTCTCACTCGGCCAATCCAGGTCCTCCTTGCGGTATCTCGTACATTACCCACCGTTCCTCCCCCTCCCCCCATCACATCTCCATTCATCCCCTCCCTTCGCTTCAGCCACGTTTTAATTACTCGAGTACAATTTTCTTTCCCAATTTTATTTCCTGCTCGTGCATCCTCTTTCTTTCTTATCGGTCACTCACTCCCTGCAGCTGAGCCGAAGGGAAGGGAAGCGAGAAAACGGCAGACCCCCCCCTCCTCCCTCTTTTGTAGTAGTACACAGCAACTTTTACTGTAGCTGAAAATGATCTAACCCGACTTTCCGTTGGAAAAAAAATTGTTTAGGTCCGCTCGCTCTTCCGAATCGCAGAATTCGCAGAGGACTATCCGGGAAGGTTGAGCAAGAATGAGGTATACTTCTACGTGCTGGAAGCAGTGCCGATGCTACCAACACTGATAATGTTCAATTTTTGGCATCCCGGGACGGTGCTCGTGGGAGCGGGGAGTAGTTTTAGAGAGGAGAAGAGGAGGGAGAAGGAAAATAATACAGTCGCTGCAGCTGGTGCCGGCGCCTGATGAATGGCATTACCGGTACTTGTATGTGGGGGGGAGGAAGAGAGATCTGGAGGGATATGGAGATATGGCGGATGCGGGGACGGGTGGGCTTACGTGCGTTGCGTATGAACAGCGCATTCGTGTTCCTGGGGGTGGAGGAGGTGGTGGTGGTTGCTGTTGTTGTTGTTGGGTGTGCGCGTGTTGTGTGTGGAGTCGAGTTTACCTGAATTGACCGAATGAATTGGGCGAGTGAGTGGGTGAGCCGAGGAGAGGGATGATGAAGATGGGTGAAAATAGAAAAAAAAAAAAAAAAAGAAATAGAATACGGTATAATAGAAAAGAGGGAGGGAGGGAGAAAAGGAGGAAGAGGGGTAAAAAAAATAAAAAATTGTGACTTGTACTAGTGTATCAAAGACCAGCTGAAGTGTTTTTTATGTTTTTTTTCTATATTTCTTTTATATTTTTCTTTATTATATCATACCATTATTGTAGATTTCCCAAAGATTGCGAGAAAGAAAGAAGAAAAAAAAGCTCCCCAAACAAGAGGTTGAATCCCCATCTTTTTTTTTTTGTTTTCCTACCAGAGTTCTCCTGATTCCAATTAACACTTGTCAAGCCACCGAAAGTGGAGAATTCACAGTACAGCTGATTCTCCAAAGCGAAACTCTCAGTATGGTCACTCCCCTCCCTTTCCCTTCCCTTCCCTTCCCGATGAACGCTATGGCACCGTATGCGCAAATCAAGCTCCGAAAAAAAAGGGAAGAAAAAAAAAGAAGACAGGAGGGAGAGGGAGAGAGGGAGGGAGCTGTTGGCTCCATTCCGCAAGCATTAGGCCAAGATAGGGCAATTCATAATATCATGTATCATATTTTCGACCTATGATATCGACCAACGCGGCAAGTGGATGAGAAGCTAGTTAGTAATGGCGGTAATAGCAGTAGACTAGTACTTGTAGTATCCGTGAACACCGCAATCGACAATCCCGTCCCGTTCACTTTCACTCCTCACCTCACCTCCACTCGCTTCGTGCTGAATGGCAGCCGAGCTGATTACCCGGTAGACTAACTAGCAAGTATCGCTTACGCTGCCCACGCACCTGTACTAGTACTTGTAGAAAGTACTGGTGCTAGCATAGTACCCGTACCCGTACCCACCCACTGGAAGTCTACCAAGGTACTGTACTCGAGTACTGTACTTTCCCCAATACCGTACCAGCAACATCACGGGTGGGTAACACGAACCATGATTATATTATACTATACAAGTTAGAATGGAATACCCTACCCTACTGCACGAGTACGAGTTATCATACTCCGGGTCAGGCACGTTCGTACTTTTTATTTTTTACTTTTTTTACTTTTGATGCAGGTGTATGAAAGAGTTGGGCATGGTAAATTTAACTTGCACGGCGCGAGCGAGTGGGGTACGGTCCGTATGCATGGTTACGGTTAAGAGTGGCCCAGGGTTGGAGTGTGCGCGAAAAAAAAAAAGTAAAAAGAGTTCTGGCGGACTAGACTATTTACTGGAGGGGCTTACGCGTGTGTGATTGGGTGGGTGGGTTGCCCGTGATTTGGCGAGGGAGAGGAGGTGAGGAAGAGAGTTGCTAGAATGATAGTGAAGGAAAAAAAAAAAAAAAAAGTAGCAGTTTATATCATGAGGAAAAGGATATAATTTATTTGGAAAATTTGGTATGATATGATGTAGTATTTTCTTCAGCAGTGATTTCTTTCAAGTCCTACTATATACAGCAACTAGATAAAAGTCTTGGTAATAGCTTAGTCAGCAGTGCTGCTAAGTGAGATAAAACCAACTAAGCAGGTATTGTTGAACTTCACATATACAAAGACCTATCACATTATACTACCACAAGAATGCCATGAAAGAAAGTGACTTCTTCCTATCACAAGCCTAAAATATTATACTGAGAGATGACTGATTCTGAGAAAGGCATGATCATTGCCTTTTTTTATATCTTTCAAACCATATTTATGGTAGCTGACCTGGTTGGTAGTCATAGTCTACTGGACGAAATTTTCTTGTCCAGGCATGTGAGCAAGATTCTATAGATAATGCACCCTGATCAGGAAGGCTGCAGATCCTGATATGCTGAGAAAAACTTACAATAATTTGTGCTACCAAAAAGGATCGAGCCATAACATAATTAGGTCTGTGTAACTGGTATGTTCCTTATGTTTCAATTTGTAACATTTACCATGATTTCTGAGAAGCTAATATCTGAAAGTAGCTAGCTACAAAGTGACCAAAGCTCCAAGCCAGGCATGTTAAAGCTCATTTGAAATGGACTTTAGCCAGAAAGAATTAGACTATTGAGGATTTTCAGGGTATGTTGCATAGTGATGAGTGTACAGTATGCAAATTGGAAGATCCTTAGCATATTTGGATCTTCAGATCTCTAGAAGAAAAATAGTTGTCAGACTGTATTCGGCCTTATAGAAAGGCCAATAATATAGGACTGATGGTTTGGGGGTGCTTTTAGGGAAGGCGGCCTAGTTCTTTGGTTCTGATACAAGAGAGATCTGTTGATCGGCATGTCTATATCACTTTATTGGCAGCTCAGTTATCCTGGCACATGCAGCATATTGCAAATGAGGTTGGAGATCTACTATTTTAGCAGGACAACACTGTTACACATAGAAGCGTAATCAGTACGGCACGTGACTAAAATGCATAAGGTCACATGTTCGACTCCGGGCCCCGCCGTAGTATTCGTAGCGCTAAGATATTAGCGCACGATATCACAAGGCATCTATGCAGCCTGCTCCGCGGAGATACGAGGCATGCGACCGTGGGGTTTTCGCTGGATAACATAGAAGGAGCTCCACTCCACAAGATAAGACTTAGTTGGTTCAGATTGGTTGGTTGGTTATTGAGCTACGACCTCTGCAAGTCTATATGCAATTACAAGAAGTAATATGCATGTCCCTTCAGCTCGCATAAGCTAGAGTCATCCGGAAGACCTAGTTACGATTGATTAATAACAACTCACTGGTCGAGTTAGTTATCTTCGTCATGCACTCTAAGCTATGCACATAGAAGAGTCATTGATAAGTCCTTTGATGGAGCTGATCACTCCACTCAGGAAGAGAGCGGGGAAGTTAGTTTTCAGGGTCAAACGGAGTTTGCACTCCAAAGACACTGAAGTGTTTGTATGGCTGGTACATAGTCAGTAAGGGATTGAATGTAGGCCGCGACCACCCAGACGCGGAATATAAATATCGAGGTGCCTCCCTAGCTTTAAGTCCATCCTCCGTCTCCGCTACACCTCCGGCGATTGAAAACTCAACACCATGATTTCTATCGTGGCTTTCATCGTCCAGCACCACCACCCCCCCCCCATCTCCCTCCATCTAGCCTCGGCTACAGGAGGTGGGCTCGCTTCCCCTCTCCCTTGGGGTCCTGATTTATTTCTTGATTTCCTCGGTTCCATCCTTGGTTGAGGCCTCCCATCTTCGTGATGTTTCCCCTCTTCCTACCCCGCCTCGCTTAGGCGTTGGCACGGTCGGCAACCCCTTTTCCACCTTCAACAGACGGCCGGGACTACAGTTGCAGTAGGAGAGAACAGCTTACAGGCTACGGTCGATCTCTCCATTCTCTTGCCCCCGTAAGAGGCTGCCTAGTCGGACACGAATGCGG